CACACAGACAACCCCGTAACAATATGCGTTTTGTACTGCTGTTACACAGCATAAAACGCATAAAAACTGCTTGCAAATTAAGGTGACAAGATGGTACCGCAATGAAACGGACCGGGTTTTTGATAAGCATCAAAAATCGTATGTCGTTGGCGAGGGATAAATTCACTAACCAATTTCTCTTACAAGCAGATTATGGCAATCTGGTCCATCCTGGAAGCCTAAATGACGAAGGAGCAACAGATTAGAAGATGAGAGAAGGGGATGTGAGTGAGATAAGACGTTTCGGTCCATCAGTAGTCATATAGGCCTTAATTCAACACCGCGCGACAGGACCTTGTCAGTATGACGGTTGCAGTGCTTAATGGAAAAAAGAGAAAAACCCGACAAAAAGAAGTAGAAGGAACGACGATCCGATACTGGGATCTGATTGTAAAAATTAAAACTAAAATGGATGAAGCCGGCAATGACAACGCATGATTAGTACACCTATATTATATGGGAATGTCGGAAAGAGTAGCATTACTGCTGACAAAGTGCAGTGACATAATAAATGAAGTAAAATAGGGGTTGGAAGGAAGCACTTGTCAAGGGTGTGTCTTGCGTCTAGAGGTGTAGCGTAGTTGAGTTGAACGCCCTAAGAGAAAAGAGAGGAATAGCATAATCGTATACACGTACATTTAAAATTCTGAAAAGGAACCAAATTTTGCAGTCGCATTTAAGTTAACCGGTACTTGCATTGGGTGACGTCTGTGTTTCATCCCTGAACTGTAGTGCAACGTCTGCGCACCCCCTATATATAGATAATCCGTGTTTCATCTCGAGGTTACATAAAACCTACCTGGTCCATCATAATGCAATTATGATAAATCGCAACGCGCACCAGACTAGCCGGTGCGATCATGCGTTTTGTGCAGTTCAGCCCTTCGGACGATTATCTATTAATGATTTTTACTGCTTTGTACTTTAGTCTATGCAAAAATAGTTCAAACATTGGAAAACACCAGCGCATGGAAGCTGAATTCGAAACCTTCAAGGATGAATATCTTTCCGTGATTCCTGAGTTAATATTTTACCCGCCAAAATTTTCACAACACCGTAGGTAGTACCCGAGAGCGCGAGAACGCTGAATTTGAATGGGCAAGGTTGAGCGTGGGCATGGGGTCATTATCCCAAAATTTCAGCCTCCTAGACTCCGTGTTTCCCGAGATATTAACTTACCCGTAAAAAACTTTCACGGGGCCGTACGTGTTACCCGCGGACACGGAGAAGCTGAATTTAAATTTGCGGGGTCACACGCGGGTGCCGTGTTACCCGTGGGTACCGGGAAGCTGAATTTAAATTTGAAGGGTCACACGTGAGTGGGGAACGTCTTACCCGCGGGTACGGGGAAGCTGAATTTAAATTTGCGGGGTCACACATGGGTGGGGAACGTCCGGCCGTACACGTTACCCGTGGGTACGGGGAAGCTGAATTTAAATTTGTGGGGTCACACGTGGGTGGGAAACGTTACCCTATTCAGCTTCCTAGCTTTTGTGGTTCCCGAGTTGAAAGTTGCGGACAAGTTGCTGCGGACACACACACAGACAACCCCGTGACAATATGCGTTTTGTACTGCTGTTACACAGCACAAAACGCATAAAAAACCTGTAAAAAACGAACAATAAAAAAACATAGTTCATGCAAAATTACCTTATACTGTACAAGAAGTTTTGAGCATTCCGCGGTGTACTCTTTGGGTGCAATGCAGTCACGACTGAACACTTTCTTGAGGCATTCCAGGGCGTTCAGCACAGCATACAGTTCGCTCATATTATCAACACGTTCACGTTCAACACTGTTCTCGTACAGGCGAACTTCCTGCTGCAATTCGGGATCCATTTCGCCCATTATGCCAACCTGAAATTCGAAGAGACTCGAAAGGACAGAAGAAAAATTAAAAAACGAAAAAATAGCTGCAGGCGCAAAATTCCCCAGCATTGTCGATGTTCTCAAAGTGTCGAATCGGAAGGACTGTGCTCTCTGCCTTTTATATCACTGTGTTCAAGACAGTGGTGTACGGACCACGCCCCCAGTAGCCGCGCCTTCAGCATCACTGTGCTCAAGGCAATGACGTACGAGTGCGAAACGCGGTCACTGACGAAAGCTGAAGAGTGTGAATGCTGATTGTGACAAAGACATCAATGCAGCTTGGGGTGCCCGGGGTGTATTTCTAGTGACCACATAAACAATCAGACTTTCCGTCAGATGAGTGGCGTGCAGGATGTCATTGCGACCATACACAAGAAAGTAAAATATGATGGGTTTTGCTCTTTTATCTAAGAAGTATGAATGCACTGTATCCTAATTATCGATGAGACAGCGTAGTTATGCATGAGGGACAGTAGGAGCACTTTTAGAGTCAAACTTCTCAATGACTTTGGCAGGTCCAAGCCCGGTACATGGGGATGTCCAAGTACCACAGCCAATTGCCCCGGCGATGCTGAAGATGAAGAAAGTACCAAAACTGCTA